TGGCTCTGCCCTCCCTTGCTGTGCGCTGCCGATGCCAGAGCCATGCAGTGCCGGGCTCAAGGAGTCGGGAACCCACCGTCCCACGCTAGAGATGACCCCTATCCTGTCACCACTGCAGGGACAGAACACGACCTGAGCCCTACTCTGAGCACGACCTTGCTGGGGTCTCTCAGTAGCATCACGAAAGGTGCACATGGGTCTCAAACCCTCCACCAACACTTTTGTCCCCACTTGGCTGAGCCAGGCAAATGAACACGCTGGGAAAGGCGCTTCCCACCCACCAGCACAGGCAGAGCCAAGGGCAAGCAGGAAACTCAGACAGAAATGAGCTAAAAAGGTTTGCTTTAAAAACAGACAGAAGTGACAAGGCATCCACCGAGAACACCACACCACAAATGCCACCTGGGGATGCTGCTGCTAACACTGTACTCATCCTGGCACCTGCTCTGCACCAGCCATCATTGCAGGAGCAGGAAGTGAGGTGCAAACACTGAGAGGCTGCCTGCATCACAGGATGGTGGGACCTGCCTGGTGACTGCAGAGGGACACTGAGCCCCAGCCCTCATGCAGAAGTGGGCACCACGGGCAACACTGCCAAAGACTGGAAAACCATTTCCTCCAAAAATCCCATCACACAAGCTCCCAGGATGCTTGTGTTTGCTCATGGAAGGTCCTGGTAGGACTGAACGCCCACATTGCACATTGGAGAGGTAACAGCTTGAAGCAGGAGCCCGCCTGGGACTCTGACTGCGTGCAGCAGGAAGCAGGTGGTGTCCCAGTCTGGAGGCACTCAGCCCCATGAGGTGCCATCACTGTCCATCCCACTGCTGGCTCGGGGTGTCCTTCTCCACGCAGGCCAGGTAGCGGTCGTAGTTCTCCTCGCACCTCCTCACACAGCTCAGGAAATAGTCCTCGTCAGCAATGGCCTCCAGCAGATTGGTTTGCACCAGGCAAATGTTGTACAGTGCTGAGGTGGGCACGCTCCTGGGACTGCTGCTGCCCTGCTCTGAGAATACCTGCAGGGAGAGCAGAGCCTGGCAGCAATGCACACACCCCACGGTGTGCTCTGCCCTCCCCTCAGCCAGGGGCCTCCATGCTGTGTGTCAGGGGCAGAGGGCAGGGTGATCCTATCCCCACTGCAACAGCAGGTGAAATTTCTTGAGATTTCCGCCTCTCCCAGAAATTGCCTTTGACTCTGAACCAGCATGTCATACGTGCCTGGTGCTCCCTTAAAGAAACAGGCCACACCATGCAGCTGGAAAACGGCTCTGTGGAGCAGCTGACTCCAGGCAAACCTCTGCCAACAGCTCTTCCTTTAGCTACCACAGGATGGGACAGGGACTTCACCTTCTGGTCTCCACCATGGCCTGTTTAAAGCCACCTGGCAACCTGTTTCACTCCTAGTGCTGCTCTGTCACCATCACTGAAGTGGGGACAGCCCTGCAGAGCTGGTGGTGATGCAAGAGGAGGGGAGAATGGCTTTCCACCTACTGATCCTGGCTGCAGGACAGCAAGGTCCCAGCAGTGACAATGAGCCCTGCTGGGAAGATGCTTGGCTGCTGCCCAGACTCCCACAAGGTCTGCTGCTGCCATAACTGGATCCTACCTGAGTGATCCAGCGTGGGAGCAGCCCCAGGGCTGGCTGCATGGCTGCCATGAGATTAGCACAGCAGCCTGACTGACCAGCCATGCAGGCTACCAATGCCAAAGGAGGAACTCCTTGATCACACAAGGATAGCCTGATGCTGAAATGCAGCAAGTGGAGCTGTGTGAGCCACACTCCAGCTGCTGCAGATCTGCATGCAGCAGCCATTGCAGAGGCTCCCCTCAACCAGGCATGGCAGAGACCAAAGCCTGCTCCTGACAGGTCTATCCAGGCAGTAACAATTCCTGCCACCAGCTACAAATGTGTAAGCTGAGAAAGCTTGTATGGAAGGGAACATCCAATGAGCATCCCACCCCTTTCCATTCCCAGGCTGCCTGCCAAACACTGCAGACAATTCACTGGCTGCTGTGTTTCCCCCCTGCACCGTCTCCATATGGATGGAAACAGGCAGGGGTTGAGGATCACCCATGGACCTGCAGCTCATGCAAAGGGGGCAAAACATTCTGACCTTGCCAGGGATACCCCAGTGCAGGCTGCTGGTGCCAGAGGGGCCTTCAGCCACCTACCTGGGGGTGAACAATGGTGTCTCCATCATCCAGCCGGATGTTGTCATCAATGAAGATGTGCTGAATGTCAGGATCATGGGGGTCTATCCACAGGGGCTTCCCACCCCGGGAAGAGAACTGATTTCTGGCCCACCTGAAACAGTAAATGGAGAAGCAACAGTCAGGGCAGGAAGAGGGTGACAGCTCCCAGGAAATGGCAGACTGTACTGCAGGCCCAGGGCACCCTCTGAGCCAGGGAAGCAGGATGGAGAATGTCCTGTCCTGCTGCCCATGCCCTCCCAGAAATGAGGCATTTTGCATCAAGGTGACAAATCAGGGGGCCTTTGGAGAAAAGCAGGAGGTACACCAGGGGATGAGGACCTCAGGAATGGTGTGAGAGTCCCTTCAGGCTGCCCACAGGCAACATGGGAAGTGCCTAAGTGATAGAGACCCCAACAACATAAAGGCTTCAAGATTAGGAGCTATCCCAAAAACGAAGAGAATCACAGGAAAGAACATAATGCCCAAGCCACTTTCTCAGTGCCCTCTTTCTCACCAGTCAAAGTGGTCTTGGAAGCCTCCAATCCCCTCAAAGGAGCTGAAGAAGTTGTAAAGCTTTCTTTTGTCTTCCCGGGTGGCCAGACGCTCTGCTCCCCGCGTTAGCACCACCTCTTTCTTGCTGCAGCGTATCTGGCCAGGGGTAAGGTCCACAGGGAGCTGCAGGACCACAGAAAATGAGAAAGGAAAAGTTTCCAAAGCAGACAGGTTGTTTCACTGGCAGAGACACTAAGCAGCAGGGTGGAGACTCCCCACCACTACAGTGTGGGAGGATGGTGCTGGGAAGATGACAAGAGGAGGCATGGAATGCATCAAACCAAAAATCATCCCCTCCCCAGGGATAGAAAGGAACGACTTCCCCAGGGATGGAAAAGAATGTGCTCCTGGCTGCACAGTGCCCCCGTTTCAATCTCTGCTATCTGAAAATACTCCGAGGAATAACTAAAGCATCTTCTAAAGCTCATTCCCAGCACTCTGCCCAGTGTGCTGCCAGGGGAGGAGAGTGCAGCTGTGATCGGCTCTGGGCCAGGGAGCCCTGCTCTGCTGCAGCAGCCTCTCCTGGGGAGGAGGAATGCTCTGTCCAACACGAGATACCCCAAGAGGAGACCATTCCACATAGGATCTGCACACACATGCTCCCCCACAGCTCACAGCTTCATCCAGAGAACTCGATGCTTTTAAAAGCAGTCTGGCCAAGCAGCTGGAGAGCAGTCTGACGTGGGGGGGGCTCCGTGGGACCATCCGGCTGCCCTTCCCCATCACCACGGACCCTCAGGGC